TTTTAAGAACTAATTTTTAAGCACTAAAACACACTATCAAGTCGAAACTAAAGCACAAGGCATCGTTTCAGGGTCTAGACAGGGACTAGTCTGGTAATTGTAATACATTCAAGGAATCTATTAGAAATTGTACCGTAAATCTACTCCGATACAGTGATTATAATACAGATGATAGAAAGACAATGGCTGTCAAATGTATGTACATAAAAGTACATAATGTAGACATTGTGAAGCTTCTATAGCATGATACAGGATGTTGTGAGTTTATTACAAACATACTATCACATCTATGTTTCGGCTCTGCTATGAACAAACGAAACATATCTGCAACGACTAAGCCAATGTTGCCCTTTAATGGGAATTTTCATCAGGTCAAGACTTTAACTCTTTATCAATGACAATACTAAAAGGGTTCAGATTTTTTTTGTAAATAATAATAGACAAACAGTTGGCTACAAACCCAACTAATGTTAAGCGATGATGTGGCCAACAATGGTATTAGTTTTTGTAAAAAATGCCTATTCGCTCTTGTCTAGAATTGCCCTAAACTGTACTTTTCCAGAAATATAGATGCCTGTGGTATATTTATTGGATGTCAATCAATGCGGATTATTCTACTCTATCGTGTCGCCTCGTAGTGAGAGACAAGACCTCACATATGAGTAGAGTTTTAGCCCTCTTCGCCAAAGAGTCACCCAACACAACATTTAACTCCCCAGCCTGCCAAATATCCCGTAATTGAAATTGGCTTCTTATACATACATACATAATGTATGTAAAAATAGGCGAGGTACATTTAAATTAAATAAGTCTAAAACTACTTGGAGCATAATAAATAAAGATTCAAGCAGGGTTAAACAACGCGATAGAGATATAGTTTTAGAATTAGACGGCAAACATATAAAATCTAAAGACAAGGTAGCACAAGCTTTTGAATCGTTCTTTTCGGAAATTGCTGAGAACTCTACAGGATCTTCTTATGTATGCCTGTCTCATATGGAGCGAGGCTATAGAAAAGCAAGGTGAAGCACTTGCAGTGTCTTTGGATATTTCTAAAGCCTTTGACAGGGTCTGGCACGCAAACCTTTTAGGTAAGCTTCCCTCTTAAGGGCTTCCCACTGACCTTTGCAATTGGATCTTGGATTTCTTGAGCGAACATTCGATTCGAGTGATCTTAGAAGACTACTCTTCCGAACATATGGCGATAGATTCCTCAGGGTTCCGTACTGTCTGCAACTCTCTTTCTGCTGCATATCAATGATATGTTCATTCCAGGTACCTTTGCGTATGCTGATGACAACACAGTTGTAGATAGGTACTTGACCAATTCAAGGGTCAGTGGAGAAGAAATCCAGTCTTGTCGAGAGTCCATGGTTAGCCGATTGGGGCGATGCCAATCTTGTCAAATTTAACGCTTCCAAAGCGCAGGCGTGTCTATTCTCCACAAAACGGAGTCCCTTTGAGCTGACTCCGACTTTTCATGATATATCCATACCGATAGCCGACTGTCTCCAGCTACTTGGAATGAACCTATCGACCAATTTGTACTTCGGAAGATACATTGAATCCATGGCCAAACATGCAGCATGGAAGCTTGGGATCCTTTCCAGGGTGAGGCGTTACTTCACACCGGGACTTTTGCTTCAGCTGTAACAAGCACAAATCCGGTCGTGCATGGAATACTGCTGCCACCTTTAGGATGGCTCTGCTACATACCAACTGGCCACTTTGGATTCAATTGACCACCGTGCCAAGAAGCTTATAGGTGACTCGGAATTAGTGGAGGCGAAGCTTGAGAGCCTTGAACACCGCCGTAAAGTTGCCAGCTTATCGGTATTTTACAGGATATATCACGGAGAGTGTGCGATGGAATTACACGATTTAATTCCGCTTTCCCCTTTCTATCACCGGGAGACTAGGCTTGGGTTCCACTTCTAAATTGTGGATCTTCCAAAGATTCGCACGAAGCGTTACGCATTTATATGGCGAACGGCTATGGAGTGGAATTCCCTGCCTCCAGACTTGTTCCCTGAACGTTATAACTTGGGCAATTTCAAAGCGAAAGTGAATAGGCATTATTTAGGTGTGCATGCTCCATCGCCGACCTCATCGTCACTTTCCATCCAGGTGAGATGGAGTCAAATGCGAACTTACATTTAATAAAAAAAGTTTTATCCTAGAAAAGTCATTTTCTGGCGTCGCCATTTTCGCATACACAATACGAAGAGTGCGCGTGCGTACGATCGGAGCGCCTGATCGAACTGAACGGCGCGCCGATTGCATTTGTTGGCGGAGTCGCCGCGAGGAAAGACGTGGCGGCGGCGGCGCCTGCGCGGTGCTCATATCTATTTCTGTGTACCGTCTAAACTCTCGGGTTTCTCTCAGAGAAAAGTTTAAGGAGACTGGTATCATGACTGTGGCATCACAGCACATTTACTCAAATATGTTATATGCCCGTAAAAATATACAGAATTTCAATAAGAAAGAAGATATCCATAATATTAACCTTAGAGCTAAGTCCAAACTCATGGTACCACAATTTTCTTTAACCAAGGTAAACGACTCTTTTATGGGGAACTGCATACGTTTTTACAATAAGATTCCGGAGCATATATTAAGATTACCATTTCCTAATTTTAAAAACTACATTAAAAATATTTTGATTGAAAAGTCAAATTACAAAATTGAAGACTATGTGTTAGATAAAGATGTATGGAAAGATGACACGGCTCCAGAATCCACACAAATTTGATTCAAAGTGTATTCCATAGCATTTAAGCTTATTTGAAAAGAGCAATCCCTAGAGTTTCTTGCTCGTTCTTTTGTGATGTCTTGTTCGTTTTCAAATGTAAATTTATTTTACCTATGGAATTAATGATCTTTGATTTTGACTTTCTCTAACTGTACCATACAAACATGAACCCTTAGAGTGCTCCAATATACAATCTAATCTCCAAAAATACAAACACAAATCTGTTTGACACTGTTGACAAGTGAAACAACATTTATTTTTCTCATAGCTCTCTATCTGACAAAAACTATCCTATTGAGTAGTAAGTTTTAGAGGTTAATAATAGGTTTAGTTTGCTTTTAAATGTGGAATATTTGTTATCAGTTTTATAGCATTCCATTCCTTTGTTCCATATCACAAGAAAGGAAATAAAGTGCTTAGTACGAGTATACAGACCTACCAAGTCTGCAGATACGTGTCTCGGGAGGCATGAATCGTAACACACATGCCTGTATTTTTTTGAATACTTTTGGCATGGTCTTTTTTAAGGACATCCTTAATGTGGTTGAGATATGTACATAGCTTAAAATGTTTTAATAAATTAACGTGTCAATCACATTTGACTATTAATTGCCGATATACTGAATTCCCTGTGACTAAGACTAAAAACCCACCTCTAAAAGGTAAAGAGACTTTATAATTTATCATGTTCTTTCTTTTCCAAATCATTTCAGAATGAAGATGTTGCTGTGCCCTTGCAGGGCGTCACATGTATACCATCAATTAATATTATCTTAAATTCGTAATGTGATATGCATTAAACAATTGAAATTAAAATAGTAACTGAAGAATCATAGTAAGTACTTATCAACACAAGAATCATTTTGAACATAATACGTAACATCTTTTGTATTGTTGCTGCACATTTATAAAGCTTTTTCTGATCAGTTTAAGCCAATCCCACATTTAATTAAAGTAGTAACTCCTTTACGCATCAACATAATGCTGAGGACAGTGCAGTTACGTGTAACTAGCGTTGGATTATGAGTTTACATTTCGGTAATTTAGTGGAGTAATTTTGTAGTTGTAACAACCAAATTAGCGTGATATGTGGGAATCTATTGCTATCAGTCCATAGACAACATAAATTAATGCTTACTGTGCAAAAATGAATGTCATAGTCTTTGAAATAACAAAGTAATAACCTTAAATCCATCTCCACAAACAATTAAAATTAAATTAAAATAGAAGACAAAAAACCCAATTTAAAAAAAAAAATATTTCACAAATGTGGGGCCATCCCATCCAACAATAATAAGTGTCAAGAAGCTTATTTCGCAAACTAATACTTTTTTTTTTAATTGCATTAGTTTTGGCTTTACGTCAAATTTACTAGAGAACTATGAAATAAACACCCTAACAAAAAGCTTAAATAGGTGCTACTATGCAAAACATCACCATGATACCGGAACTCTCAAACTTTTCATACTAAATATACAAAAAAAAAAGAGAATGTATATACTTACACACCTTGACTTTTAACCAACAATAAATTTTATGATAAATAGCTAATTTAAATACACTTACCAATTTGTGGATTATTATGTGTTATTGAACTTTAATTAGTACATTCAACGAATACTGCAGTTCCCGTGATTAGAGAACAATTCCGATAAATAACAATAGTTCTTTTACGTCCACTACCACTTTCTAATTTATTGAATTAACACACAAAACGTTGATAAACGCACCACATAACTTGCATTAATAAGTACGCCAGGGAGTTGAGAAGGTTATACAAATGAAAAGAATTGACATTTTATTAAAAATTCACTTTGAAATTCTACTTTTTGTGGAATGAGACAATAAAAATTACTTTTCATTCAAATGTCACTGACAACTGACACAAACCACTAATGTCACTGATGTCATGAGAAGTTGAGAACGTTTTGTAATTGCAACATTAAGACGAAACTTCAAACGCTTTCTAATATAGTCCATCACCTCTAATCAGCATTGTTATGAATTTACATTTTGTTTTGAAAAGTGTTTGTGTCACTAACAGTTGCAAACAAAACGCTTTTTGCTTACTTCAGGAACATTTATTTTTCTTTTCAGATTCAAAAGGTTTTTTAACCACATTTCTTGTGCGGTTATTGAGTTAGAAGTATAATGGTATATAAGAACTTTTCCTTATAGTTGTCAACTTTTATTGTACAAAGTCAGGAAATTACTATACGAAAAGAGCGCAACACTATTGTCAAACTCCCTTTGTTGACGTGAACAGATACTCGATTTTTATAATTTTTTATTGAATTTTACGCAAAATAAATAAAATGTCGGCACAAAATGTTAATGTTTGTGATATAACAGAGGACGTGAAGGAGACTCTGAAGAAATTTCGCTTTGCGAAACACAGTTCTACTGCTGCTTTGATATTGAAGGTATTATGCATATTTTATCGCAATTCCGGTACACTTTTCCTGTATTTACTACATGGAAATGACCATTTAGACTACACACTTCGTTTTAAATACGTTACAAGGTAATTAAAGGGCTAAAAGCTAAAATTTTAGATACCTATTTCACACCCCTATAGGCAGACGCTTATCAGCCGCTACAAGTCACGTTGTTTACCAAGTTCGTTGTCACGACAATTTATTCAAGCCTAATATTGCACGTTGTGTTCGTTCGATCATTAATATTTAATTATTGTAAAAATTTACGACCTCGGTGACTCAGCGCTAAGGGCGCTAGTTCAGGAAGTTATGGGTCTCACTCTCGGTAGGTTTTTTCAACTCGGGTATGAATCTTTTTTTTCTTTATAATATCAAGTGATGGGACGAAAAAGTTGTGCGCCTGATGGTAAGATACACGCCTGTCCATAACAGTTGCAGTGCCACTCAGAGCTTTAAATCGCAAAGATGTGATAGGTACTGCGATTCATCACCCTGAGACATAAGTTGACAAGTCCCATGTGCCTGTAATTTCACCAGCACCCTTACCCTTCAAAACTGGAATATGGTAATGCAGACATTACTACTTGGCGGCAGAAATAGGTAAGTACTATCCTGGACGAACTTATTCACAAGGAGCTCTACGGCTACTTAAATGTCCACAACAGCACTCCGTTGAAGAAGTTCTTTAAAAAATTAATGCCTTGCCTAAATTGCTGCCACTCAAGGAAAGATCATTCTTTCTGTGCTCTGTATTTTTACTTTATATATCGAGTAAAACTGGATAATAAAAGTAAATGTTTATAAACTTGTAAAGCTTGCCAAATAACTTGTGAACAGTGAAAATTTTATAAGAAAATTATGAAAGACTGGAAAGTTATAGATAAAATATTCTAAAAAATTAAATTGCAGCACCTAAAAGTGCTTTTGACCTTACACTACTGCGCATACACCACCAACAGGTAACTTAATAATATTCTAATAATCTATCTTAATATATGCTCTGGAATCTTATTGTAAAAAACGTATACAGTTCCCCATAAAAGAATCATTTACCTTAGTTAAACGAAAATGTGGTACCATGAGTTTGAGCTGAATTCCATAGTTTGAGACCAGAGTAATAGTGTGATTGTCTATATCATTTATTTGTTTTATAGACCACAAATGGGATAACAATCAAATTGCATTGATAGTAAATAAATTAGGATATTATGAAGTTTTGTAATATTTTGTAATCCTAGTTATGTTGAAACATCACTGTAGAGAACCTAGAAAGAAACCTAGAAATGGAACCTACGTCTAGTCCCCTAGGGGGAAGGCGGAATTAATTTGTATAATTCCATCTTTACTTCTTCATCATCAACTTCATCTTTACTTAACCTGTCAAGCATTTTTAACCGAGGAGGTTCTCAATTGGAAAAATTACTTACTCACGCAAGGTCAAAAGTTGCGATGAATGTAAGAAATATAACCATCTGACAACACTGATGTGTAATGATTTGGTTGTTTCGCGAAAACGGCTGTTGACTCGATATAAACAGCAAACCGACTGCGGCTCTATCAGCAAAGCGATGTAGTCTGCCAAAGGCGGTTGTCATCCCTCCGTAAACACAGCATCAGGGTTGTTCATCACGAAAGGCCTAACAACTGTGTCAATAATTTTAAACCAGTAATAAATAATCATTTTCATCTATAATAATGGTAAAACCTTATAAATATTAATTTTACAGGTCAACAGAGAGAAGCAGGTACTGGAAGTCGACGAGGAGCTGGAAAATGTCGAACTTGAAGAGCTGCAGGACATCTTGCCTTCGCACCAACCCAGGTTTATTGTATACAGGTATGATATGCCTTTTACCTATGCTTGTGAATTCCGTTTTAGCATTTTATAATGGGTGAGACTAGTGTAAGATCACGATGGCACAAACTATGGGGACCTATTCATGCAGTAAATGAAGTTGGACTGTAGAGAAAGATTTTTTGCCTTGAAACAATTTGTCGACCAGACTATGATCAGATTAATTTGGAAGATATAGGGTATTCCAAAAAGTTAGAATAATTTTACCCTATTTCTCCTTACGAGTCGATACTGCCTCAGCTTGAATTCAAATTGGACGTAGTTAAACAAAAAGGATCCAATACACAACCAGTCACTTTCGAGATATGACAGTTTGAAGTTTAGAAGTGTTTCTTACTCTTGTTTTATTTTCAAAACTTTTAATGTATGTTTATATGTTGGATTTTTTTCCTGATCTGAGGTTAGACTTTAGGAACCGTTTAATACATATAACAAACTTTTTGATAATTTTATGAACGGGATACTTTTTGCTTAACTACGTCCAATTATTGTATTGAATCAGTTCTATTGTGCCGGTTGAGCAGTAGGGACATTGGCTTTATTTCAGAATTGTTTTTTTTTACAAAAGAAATTAAAGTCATTTTAAAAATATATATCACATACTATGCGTGTTCTATTTAGTTCAGTTTATATAAAAAAAATTGGCATATTTTTATTTTTATATACAAGGGTACGAGGTATACCAAATTGTAAGCTTATTTCGCATTCTATGATATTAATCAGTAAAATATTAGTTGCAGTACCTGCAAAAACTATTCAGAATACTCGAAAAACAAAAATAACAACCATCTGCAGTTAAACTTACATAAAGCCCAAAAAAGTAGTTTTTCCAAAAAAAATTAATAGTGCCAATGTCTCGAAAACCAAAACTTTTACTAAGGCCAAACTATTTTTTTCTGGTAGCTATAGAGCTTACCTAACCACAGTGTCACTCTGTTGTGATATTTTAGAGTCACCCTGTATTTGTATTTTTCAGTTACAAAATGGACCACAGCGACGGGCGACAGTCATTCCCTCTCTGTTTCATATTCTACACTCCACGAGACGCACATATGGAGCTGCAAGTGAGTTCTCATCTGTTGTATTCCAGAATGACACGAGAAATAATCTTTTGTTGCGAGTTTTGCGCTTGGTAGTAAGCGACACGCCTATCCATTGGGCACTGCCACTGCGCCTGTCGCCCTGAGACATAAGTTGATGAGCCCCTTACGCTTTTAAACCGGAGGAGCTCTGCTGCTACTGAAGGAAGATTATTTACTCGCTGCAGACACGGTCATAAATTAAAGGAGTAGTGGAATCTACTGCTGGTGAAAAGGATGGAGCCTCAGCACCACATGCTGCTTTTCAGGTTCCACCTTCATACAAGGACGTTCACTACTGACAATTGTCACACTTCACAACAAATCTAGATTTTATATATGTGGGACATCATCATAGATCATCTAACGGATATCTAGGATTTTATAATACTCTATGTGTGTAACGACCTTTGCCAAATAAAACTGAGAAATGCTAAAATTACATGTTGTGCTTATTTCTGTGAATTCAGAACTTTAAAAGGCTGTAAACTGGGTAATTTCAACATACGATACTTTACGTAGGAGGGAGGGGTCGAAATACCAGTTACAAACGGCACTGGAACAGGTTTCAACATCTTACATACACTAGCTTGTTATAATTATTAATACAAAGATGGAGCACTTAGAAAAAATCCTCTTCATCAAACGTCTTCCAGCAAACCGTGCCAGACGCTATATGCCAACTAAGCTACAGAACGAACTAGCGGACTTTACGAAGTTTTCTATGTGCTTGTTACAGATTTTTGTTTTAGCTATTTAACGATTTTTAAGACGTAGCGCCATCTGTCAGAAATCCATTTCTTCACTTCAGCAGCCTCATACCTTTCTACATTAATTTTGATTATATATCGTGACCGTACCTACCGACCCTGAGGGTATACGAGAAGGGCACTATAACCTGTGCGCGCACAGGAACCTTAAAAGTCCAGATTCTGACCCCAGATCAGCCAGTACCCCGTACAGCGTAGTGCCCCGGGTGAGCCGCCCCGGGTGCACGTACAGTACCCTCCCTATTTTCCAGATAGGTACCGGAGCTGTAGGCACGCTCACTTCCTGTTGCGCATTACACAACTAGCGGTTGCCACCGCTAAGCCGTCGACTCTGAGTCCACTACCAAATTTCCTCATTGGTCTCTCCAGTTCCCAATAACCTAAGCGACTGGAGGGACCGGAGGATATCTACTAGCTCTACTAGCTCTCCGGCCTCGTTCCGGAGATCTAGTAGAGGATAAGCTCCTCGCTTCAGGCCCTCAACTAGACCGTTACGCGCTAGCTGCTCACGAGACAGGCGCCACAGAAACATGCAAAACCGGGGCAGACAAACATGTCCGGGTCCGCCAGAGACTTTTCGGAAAAACCTATCTCTTGGGTCAGCAGACAGCCACCAGCAGCATGTTTAGAAGCAGTACAGCTCCTTGTGAGAGAATTCGTCTAGGGTAGTACTACCACCATACCTATTTCTGCCGCCAAGCAGTAATGTCAGCATTACTGTGTTCCGGTTTTGAAGGGTAAGGGTACTGGTGAAATTACAGGCACATGGTACTTGTTAACTTGTGTCTCAGGGAGAGGGGCGCAGTGACAGTGCTTTTCACATCTTTGCGATTTAAAGCTCTTGGAGGCACTGCAACAGTTAGGAACATGCGAGTCGATTACCAGGCCCCCAACTTGTTCGTTCCGTCGTATCATAACAAAAAAACTAAGACGAAACACAAAACCATTGCGCTTCATGCGGTCAGCATTCTCATTACTGTTTGTGATAGTAAATCCTTAGCTATATTTAAAATGAGAGTCAAGAAGCACTATTTATCCACTGTTCCATCCATTTTATGGATATCATAATACTATCTAAGTATCTATCTATCTGTCTTCAATTACTTAATGTTTTTACTATATTAGTTTTGTTGTGCACGTAAACTCATTGTTGTAATTATTGTATTTTGTATTTTGGTCTGCAGGAAGAAATTTCTTTAGAAATAAGGCTTTTAGTTTTCCATTTTGCTAAAGAAGGATGGCGACAGCTGCCCCAATAACGATGAAGAGCCGTTCAGTATAATTTTGCGTTTTACTTTATGCCTGGTTATCAACATATTTTTGTATATTTTTAGAAGTCGGGAATAAAAAAAAATGTAAAACATTATATTTTAGAATGGATGCAAGAACATCCAATTAATTCAGTTCGACTATAGATTAGGTAACGTTCTTGTACGTACGTTACATTTTAAGCATCATTGAATGTTTGCCCACTTGAAGTATTGGTTATTTTTCAATACACACATACAACATTTAAGCTATAAAATACCTAATGAAATATCGATTGAACCGTAACGGCATAAAGCAAGAAATAAAACACAATGTGACAAAAATATTTAGACAATATTTAATGAAAGTTGCAAAGGAACGTTTTGACAAGAGACCTCTTGCCAATATCAATATCACTTTGATTTTTTTTTAAATTTATTAAGGCTTTGGCAAAGCCATGTCATATTGAGACCCGTGCGACCATGTGTGGAAGATTTCTGCCATTTGGGCAGATTTAATTTTTATTAATTTTCATTGCTGCAGAACATGATAAGTTATATTAAATGCGGCAAAGTTTGGCAGATTTGGGAATACTCGGGAAGTTCTTTATTATTTTTGGGAACGAACGTAAAACTTGTTGTTTTCTACTACTACGAACAAACATCTGAAGCGAAACATAGGACATTGTAATAAACATATCTTATATCAACTTTATAACCACAGACTGTAATCAATTATAGCTTTTTTGATGCTTTGATAATGAATCACAAGTATTGATATGTCTCTTTAATGCACGTCGTCAAAAACACTGGGTCACAAAATTCACGGTATGTCGCCATCCTTCTTTGATTTGTGTTTTCCTTTGCAACAAATTATTAAATGAATAAAATAAAATAAACGTTAAGAAAAAACAGTTACTTACATATTAATACTATGGATTCACTGTAAATATTTAATTCTCTAGGTAATGTACGCGGGCACTCAACGCGCTCTAGCGGCAGAGGTGGGCGCTCCGCGTTTGTTAGAAGTGAGAGAAATCGACGAGCTCACCGACGACTGGCTCAAGGAAAAGCTTACCAGATAAATACGCTTTATGTACCTTTAAAACGCTGTTTAGAATTTACTGCGTATATAGTAATTTTTAAACACGCCAAAAAACCTAGTGAACCATTACAAATAGATATTCTGAAATCATAAAAAGAACAATGCCCATTTTGGACTGGCACATTTTTTTATCGCCACCGGTTGAAAATTTATATCCACCTATGCGTTACAAAATAATATAAGATTCATTCGTAAAACTTTGAAATAAGTTGGAGAAAAAGAGATATGAATTTTTAAATATAACTTTTTTGTAAAAAGAAAACCGACGTCAAAAGTTCGTGGAAATGCATCTATTTGCCAAGTTTTAATGAAATCGGTTACGGAAACTACGCGAAACCGGTTTTATCCCCTAGTTTGCCACCCTTAGAGGCGGAATATTTTGTTCTAATAAATAAAAAATTTAGGTCACAATATTTTTTTTTATTATTTTGTTAAGCTCCTTATTTCAAGCTTACATCTAGCACAAAAATTGAGGCTGGTTATTTTTTTCTGTGAATAAAGTACCAAACTCCATACTAATTCGGTACAAGTCCTTTATTAAAGTATTTCGTTAATTTGTTAATTATTAACATAACCTCAAAAAGAAAATGTTGCTTAAATCAAGTTCTCTAGTTAAAAAAATATAAATCCCGTATAATTATAAACTATATGAAACTAAAAATAAATCCCCGCATATGTGATTGATTGTCATCATCTTTTTTTTAGCTCGTCCAGGACTGTAGGAAACTTGGGCATTGTTCTTTAAGATTACTTTCTATTATTCCAAACCGTACATTAAGGTTCCATTTCCATTACCGCAAAACAGAAGGAAAACGATTTTAACCATGACAGGATGAATGTATGTCAATTGTGCAACGTAGAAACCAGATATGAATGAAAAAACCACGCGTCTTTTGTATGATTTTTCGTACTTACTGAAAGAGCCAAGACTTACCTCATGAAGGCGCCTCGCACATCCAGCATTGAGTTTATGTAATGTCACAGTTTCGTAATTCATGTCCATCGAGTAAATAACCACAAATAGAGACGAAATGTTATTTCATTTGTTTGAAAACTATTCTGCCAAATCATTACGGTGACAACTGCGCTCCGATTGGCCGGCCCGAATTCGAAACAATTGACGGGTGTCGTCAATTGTTTCACTTCAAATAGACCAGTTTAACTTGCGCTTTGCTATAATGGACGAAAATTGAAAAATTAAATACTTAATTACCGATGAAATGTGATTCCGTTTGTTTTGTAATTAGATGTTTTTGTTTTGCTGTTTTTCCCACACCACCGAATAAAACAGGCCGCCATAGTTAGAGATATTATCTTTATTACAATAAATACAGAACATTTTTGGAACATACGGAGACGTACACACAGGTCAGTTGTTGGCGCTGTACTATTGTAGCTTTCTAATTTGTGGTTTCAGCGCTAACGAGAGTTGATATTTAAAAGTGATATAAGGCCCATTTGTTTGATGAGTTGCCAGGGGTGGACGGCCTTTATTTCGTCTCTATTTCTGGTTATGTACTCGATGTTCATGTCCCACTGTTGAAATCGTTATATTGATTAAACTCTACTGCTCATTCGCAAGGCAGATTCCCCTGAGAAGAATGTGCAAGAAACTCTAGGGGCTGCTAAAGAGCAGCCCTAATAATAAGCCCTTTGTTAATAGGTTAATGTATATTAACCTATTTAGGTTAATGTATATTAACCTATTAACAAAGGTTAATATACATTTACCACTTATAATATTTATTTCAAACAACTACCGTATTGTATCTAGTTTGTACGTTACACTTTGGCAAAATTAATTATGCTGTGTACAATTTCTTATCTATATAAGGAATTCCAAATTTAAAATTTAAATTGACCAATAGCGTGGCTTAGATATAACATTGGCATTTAAAGCTGCACAATTGGTGAATTTGAATTGAGTTTATAATGTTGAATGATGTACTTGCGATTGGTTCGTTTGAATACTCATTACAATTGTAATTGGAATTCCAAGCCGTGTGATTGGTCACTTTCAATTTTGTAGTGTAACGGCTTAGAAATATACAATTCTTATGAATCGATTTATTCCAGTTTTCTTTGAATTTATAAATAAGTTATAAACTACGAAACATGACATCCAAAAATATACCGTCGCTTAACATACATAAGAAAAAGTCTAAATTAATTATTTTTATCGATAAATAACACTTTTATGTAATCTTTATTTTAAGAATATAAAAAAGAAATTAATATATAAAATAAATTTATTTATAATTGTACAGACGCCAAAAAAACTTATTTAACATTTTGGCTTCTATATAACGTATTTTTACAGTAAGTAATTGTCTATAATATTCTTGCCATTTTTTTACTAAAGTTTTTAAATACATATAATAAAATATTGTGTATTTTAATAAGTAGTAACAGCTGACAAGATAGGTTGGTCCGCTAGCCATGTTGTTGTATAGGTTGGCCACAGAAGTCAGTTCTCGCTCGCAAAGTTACAGGGGCGCGGGAGCGGGAATCTGTTGCAGTGTAATGCACATGAGATGGAAATATTTGTGGGAGATATCTTCTAACTATAGTATCTTTATCGTTGGCGCCATTATAGCGTCGCGGGCGAGAACTGACACAGGCGGTCAACTGATAAAAAATTTACCATTTGAGAGTTAAAACTTGTCATAATAGGGTATTTGACACAGAAAGGTTATCGCTTCACTCAACTCAAAATATGTAACATTAATCATCAGGGATAGAAAATTCCAGTAACGTTAATAATAATGTGGACATTCCTTTCTACAAATCTCGGAACTTCTCGAAACTGATTATATTTGAATATGCGTGTTATTTATGAAATTTGCTACAACTTATTGCCCCGAAAAGTAACAATATAGTTTTGTTTTTATCGGTGCGTTCCTGCTCAGCAAAACATTTATAAGAGCGCTTTGCACGCATATTTCGATGTAGAAAGAAGTAACTGCTTTCTCTTTCACACAGCATCGAAAGTAATAATATAGTAATAATTATTATTACTTTCGATGTTGTATTATATTGGCAGTTCCTATTGTTTGAAATCTTGATTTCTTCTTTTGAAAGAACAGCTCCCATATCTTTTCTGCATACGTTTTGTTTATAGTGACCCTCCCTGTCAATCTTTTAGTTATACGGGTATTTATAACCTGTACAAGCAAGCCCGCACAAGGACCTACACAGTCAGGCCCTGACCCCAGATCAGCCCGTTTAAACGGACTTCATACGGTTCTCAGAAGGCCTTAGGTGATTCGCTCCGGGTGCATATACAGTACCCTTCCTATTTTCCAGATAGGCGCTGGAGCTGTAGACACGCTCACTTCCCGTTGCACATTGCGCAACTAACGGTTGCCACCGCTAAACCGCCGTTTGAGCTAACTATTACTTTAGTAAATCCGTATGTATAAACATTGTCATTATTATAATGAACACGAGCATATCGACGGTTCAAATTTGAAATGTCGTAATGAATATTTTGTCGTAATGGAAAATGTTCCTTACTACAAAATGTCGCTTACAACATTTCGAAATTCGATACTTCGACAAAATTATTACCTTTATATCGAATTTCAAATTTCCACGATCTATATACGCCTATATTAATTTTATTCGTCCCCTAATTTTATATGCATTGACATGGTAATATGATTCCCAGGATTTTTTTGTCGTAACACGAAATGGGTATGTCCATACTTAGAAAACGTTCAAGTTCTAGGTTAACTCCTTCAATTCCGACAACTGTTGATCACACACATCTCGCTTCAAGACGTCCTTTGGTTCTTGATCTTTCACTTTTACCTTTCACTTGGTCACTTAATCTGCCATCATTACGCCTTGCAATATTTGTTCCGGCTTCATTTTAGGTTCCTTATCCCAAGTTGTATGTCCTCTTGGCATAAGATGATTAGTGAAGAATATTTGCTTTTGAAAGCTAAGTTAGATTATACGTCTTACGCAGTTGCGGCAGTCAGTGAAGCGTTTAACTTTAAATACTTATCAAATACCGTAATATACACGGTGCTAAGAAATTAGGTGAATATGAAATTGAGACATGATGACAAAACATGATCCATTGTCGGCCTATTATTTTAATTTAAAAAAAATATAGTTTATTTTAGAGTCATCAGATTGCATCAGAAGAATCAACTTGAGATGAATAAAAAACTTTATACCATTTTATACTTATTACTGTTTTATATCGATTTTTAAAATTTTTCTTTCCCGTGCAAAAATAGAATTCATAGTTCTGTTCAAACGTTGTAACCTTGTAATTAACAAGAAGTTTAACATCATCGAACACGTACACAAGAAATAACACAGAAGCTTACAAAGCTAATAAATAAGACAGGTTGTACTCGCTCAGGTTATGCTCCCCTAATGGTAGTTGAATAGCAGAACCTGCAAAAAGCCTTTAATTGCTGAAAACTCGATTTTGACGCAATCTTGAAACGGGCGCCGCCAATATGCAAAAGTAGAAGAAATGATAGTTAAGAGGTTTTAAAAGATGAAACCAAAGTGGTTTTTATTTTTAAGTACTGTGTTATTAAGTGTGTTTAGTAATTTACTAGTTTTCTTAAATTTTTGGAAAAACAACATATACTTTCAAAATACTTATAATGAGATACCTAATTTATTAGCACCCTATATAACCGTGTACTCTTTCAATGGACTATACCAAAGGTTTTGATATAACAGTCATAATTAACTTATTGTTTTTTTTAATACTCAAAGAAATATTTTGTTATGTTTTTCTCTGGTTATCAATGTATACATGAAATGACAATTTTTATAAATAATCAAGATGTTGATCTGAATTATTTATTTACTTAGAAAATGCTAGAAATACTATACTGTATTAACACTGAAAGTTAAGTCAACTTTAGATATAAATAGCGGGAATTATGCTGCTGAAATTACACAGTGCATGTTCTACAACCACCTAAATTATTTCCACCTCAAAATCAAAATGTAATAAATACGAAAGCTATTACTTTCTTACACTGTAGTCCCACAACACTGGTTAAATAGCAGAACCTGCAGTAGCGGATGTTTTACTCCGCTCCCGCTTTTGTAGATAATAGGCCAAATCAAGTTCCGTTTTTCTTTTGGGCTAAATTTAACGGTATAAAGCAGAGATGTAATGCGGTTACAGACTACGTTTTTTATTATTTAGTTCAAGTTTCAAAAGTGATTTTTGATAGCATTTATATTGTATACATAAAGACAGACATTTTAGATTTGAACCGACGCCATTTTGCGTAATTACAGGGAACTAAATTCATACAAAAAATATTTAATAATTTAAATTATTAACAATAACAGTATTTTTCTCGATAAACAATTTTTACTACGCAATTTTGACGTCCAAACAACTAACGCCAAAGTCGTATATATTGCACATCTGGAAAACTCGGAATCCACGAATATACGCTGTTGTCGCGTCTATAATGTTATCGTGTTTTTCATTTATGTATTTAAAACAACGAAATAAGAAACTTTATTAACGTTGTCAATGACTTCATATGAAATTGTCATAAATACATCAGTTATTAATGCAATAAGTTATAGACGCAGCAACAGAATCCGGAAATATTCGTGGCTTCCGGAATTTCCCGATGTGCAATATTTACAGCCTGGTACTGTATTTTAGAGTTCAAATTTAACTTGTCAGACTTTACCTCTAGGAATTTAGAAATTATATAGGTGTCAAATTGACACATTATAAAGACAGTATTGTAGACATTTTGTATAATAAAGAAGTTTGTACGAAACTGACTTAGAGTATAAGATTTTGATGAATATATGTTTGTACTTGCCCTTAAACTGTTGTTTAATTCTCGCCTATACTCTAGCCAAAGTCGATGTAGAATATATTTTATTCTACAAACATATGATTTTTAGGGCGTGAAAGCTCTCAATGTTTTAAAGTTACCGCAACTTCAATATTTTTCCCTGAAACTTAATTAGGCTATTGATAGGTTTTGTTAGAAAAATAATTTTATTAAATTTGACCACCTTCTGCTGTCCCGATTTTTTCGTCCCATACAATTAAATTATCCTTACCTCTAAGAAGCGGAGTCTATGGCTCAACGCACACTGGCGCAGAGCGACGCATCATGTTTTTCGCCTATAGCATATTCATTTCTATTTTCCCATTATTAAGGTACAAATTGGTGCCAATATGGAATCGCGCGACGACGCGTTAAAGTCGAGCGGTTTCGGCGTCAGACGCCGACTACACTGTGATCCGGGCGCGCTAATACGAGAGTCGTTGCTTCGCGTTACAGTTGAAAAACAGGACGCGACGCATTGACTTATGGACGTCGGGTCCGCGCTAAAAAGTGTCCGCACTTGTAAGGCGCTAAAATCGTATACAGAGCGCGACACTCCGCTTTAGTCTTCATTTGTTCTACGGACAGCGCGATACTGCGATGACATAACAATTTAAATTTCGAATAGGTTGACTTGGGACATTTTTTTCGTGGTTTTTGTATTAGACCCGTCGTCCATTTATTTGTAAGTCAATGACGCGACGCGATGCTTCGACTCTGCGCCAGTGTCAGTTGAGCCTATCAGCGCTACAAAAAAATTTTGATCAATGTTATTCATTTTAACGGACAAATCACGTTTGATCAAAAAATGGACTATGCCAAAATTGTATTCACAAAAGAAGTGGTTCCTAAAACAGTTTCCTTGTAAATCTATGGTTTCGGATTTCCCAATACCATCCCATTGAAAAAACACTGTATAGTTCGAAAGATGTTTTTTTTGTGTTTGTTCGATCTTTTCGTCAATAAATAGTAGTAGAAATTTATAGAGCACGTTTATCAAAAACACCTAGTTTTAACATTACAATGTTGACTGTCACAGAATCTTTTTGCCCCTCAATTGAACGGTCTTAGTTTCACATTGCCTTAGATCGATTCCTTGCTCGAGCATTCGCTCGTAAGGCATCTCCGCGAGCAGCTCGTGCCCGCATTTGCTCGCAAGTGCCTGTGACGTTAATGCTGTGTACGATGTGCAGATTGCACCGACTTTCAAGGTTTTGCACAGATTTTCACTGAAAAAAAATAATAATTAGAAAATTAAACTATTTCTTTAGCTCTAAATCGCGTATATATGTTTTTTCACACAAACCAACGTTTCTGCAGGGGGTCTAATCCCGAAACAATTATTGTCAAATAATTCGTACTCGGCCAAATAAAAAAAACAATGTCAAATACGAAGCTTCATTAGCATCATGCATGCATTTATTATTAATGCAAGGTACAATATGGCCCATTTCTGGGCACGGATCCTACCTAGCTTCAATAAGTCGGGCTCCAATATTCTGCCCTCTGTGCTTGGGCATCACTGACATGGCGCTCCCGAATATACACGTATTCACGTCGTAATGCTGGAAGACATCGAAAAGGTCTTCGACAGCTGTCAAAGTTAAATATAACTGCTTCCATTTCTCACCTTTCACCTGGAATCAGGGTCTATTTTATTTATTATATTTAGTAGCAAAAAAGCTTTTTGTGAATGAGTTCGTCCAGGGAATTATTGCCACCTTACCTATTTCTGCCGCCTGTTTTGAAGGATGAAGGTGTTGTTGAAATTACGGGCATTTCAACTTTTAAATTTATGTATTCGGGTGACGCAATGGCAGTGCCCCTCAGATCTTTACGGTTTAACGTTCTAAGTTACAGTGCAATTGTTAAGTGTACATGGTACGTGTCGCTTACCAGCAGGCGCACGCCTTGTTCGTCTTGTCACTTGTTATCATAAACACTTGAAACCGTTTTGTCCGGTTTTTGCTCATGGTCAGTAACGTGAACACTATTAATTCATGTCCTGGGCCATTTATATTATAAACTACTTCCAGGCTAGGTATTGCTCGTCGTCATTTAGATAATAAGAGGGAAGTTTTACCTTTTCCGGAGTTACGTTCTGTAGTATGGAGATTCCAGCTCTTGAGTTATTGGTTCATGGTTATGATAAAGAGGGCAGAATCAAAGTTAAAGTTAAAGAATCATTTATTCCATAGGTAAAATAAATTTACACTTGAAAACGTCACATTTAAGCTACTGCTCGTTCACTACGCTGACTCCCTGAGAAGAACGAGCAAATAACTAGGGATTGCTCTTTTCAAATAAACTTTGAATAAAATTTGTGTGGAATCTAGAGCCGTGTCGTCTTTCCATACATCTTTATCTAACACGTAGTCTTCAATTTTGTAATATGACTTGTCAATCAAAATATTTTTAATGTAGTTTTTAAACGTGGGAAATGACCCTAATATATGCTCCGGAATCTTATTGTAAAAACCTTTTACCTTGGTTAAACGAAATCGCGGTACCATGAGTTTGGACTTAGCTCTAAGGTTAATATTATGGATATCTTCTTTCTTGTTGAAATTCTATATATTTTTACGGGCATATAAAATATTTGAATAATAGCAGCAGAATAGCAGTGGCCTCCTCTGAACATAAACTTGACAAGTCCCATATGTTTCATAAACACTTTTTTTTTAAATATATAATTAACCTCCATCTCATCCGATGAAAAGTGACAATGAGGTCGGCAATGGAGCCTAAACCTAAATAATGCCTTTTCACTCTCGCTTTGAAAAGGTCCAAGTTATAACGTTCAGGGAACAAGTCTGCAGGCAGGGAATTCCACTCCATAGCCGTT